CAAATGCAGTTCCCTTAAAAAGCCTTCACCAATCATTTTATGTATTTTTTAAAATCAACTTCAGAGAGAGGAAGGGAGAGGGAGAGAGAAATAGAAACATCAACGATGAGAATCATTAATCGGCTGCCTCCTGCACACCCACCCTACTGGGAGTCCACAACCCGGGCATGTGCCCTGACTGGGAATTGAACGGTGACCTCCTGGTTCATGGGGCGATGCTCAAACACTGAGCTACACCGGCCGGTCTGGACTAACTGCTCCCCAAAATGCCCCACTCGGGCTAAATTCAGTGGAGCACCTGCCATCTTGTTCTGAAGTTATTTTGTTGTTTCTCCTCTCCCAAAGATATTTTTTTCATTGATTTTTAGAGAGAGTGGTAGGGAGGAGGAGAGACACAGAGAGAGAAACATCGATGTGAGAGAGACACATCGATTGGTTGCCCCCCCACATTCACCCCAACCAGGCTAGGAATCAAACTTGCAACCCAGGTATATACCCTTGACCGGGAATCGAACCTGCGACCTTTCGGCCCACGGGCCGACACTCTAACCGCTGAGCGAAACTGGCTAGGGCTATTCTTAAGGGATTGATTCTACTTTAACATAAGCCATTTTGTACCGAAGGTCTAAGAAAGAGAAAGGTCAGTCATAACTTAAAGTGGATTTGGCCCTTAAAAATAAACAACACGTAACATTTCTCAAATATCCAACTGTATTTTATTGTGGTTGCATTGTTAACACAGTCTGCAGTTAGGGTCGGAATTCCCAGGCCAATAGATTTTTTTTTAAACCGTGCCATGGGAGTAAACCTTCGAAGGAGTGACATTTAAGCCTCTATAGATTTCCATTTCTAAATACAGTATTTTACAGAAGGTTAGATATACCACCTCTGTTTACTTACAACTATAAAAAGATACATTAACCATATCAATTATAAATAATGTCCCGTTTCATATTAAAGGCGCTATTATTGTACAATGACAGAATAAGAACCCTCTAATGTATTCCTATCAAGGTTAGTGTCTATAATTACTTACGATAAAAATCCTGAAAATTCAGTGTATGCGTTAAGTCCTGATTTCACAAGTTACTGACAGTGTGAGTGGTAAGAACTAACTGGTGCTGAGGCGACAGTGAATGGTGGATTGCAGGTTTCTGGAAAAAAACGATAACCCTGGCCCAGCCAGCGTGGCTCAGTGGTTGAGTGCCGACCTAGGAACCAGGAGGTCACGGTTCGATTCCCCGTCAGGGCACATGTCCGGGTTCACCCTCCATCCCCAGTAGGGGGCGTGCAGGAGGCTGCCGATCCATGATTCTCTCTCATCACTGATGTCTCTCTTTCACTTTCTCTCTCTCTCTCCCTCTCCCTTCCTCTCTGAGATTAAAAAAAAAAAATAGGACTCTATAGTAACTCTAGTAAACCAGGGCTGTGTTAGAGCAGCAGCCTGTGGAGTTGTGTATGTTTTGCACATCAAACTGGGGAAAAGGAACATTAGCTCAACCACTAATCCAAGTGACGGAAACACATCCCTTGTCAAATTGAGTTATGGCCCCGCTTGGGGACATGCGGGACGGACTGACGCTCGGATGTGCTCTGCTGTTGGAAGCGTCAGGACATTGGACCGGTCACCGGGACGGGGACCCCAGCCGTGGTGTTTGGGCTGCTGATTCAGCCCTGGTCCAAAGGCAGGCTTGGTTTGAAGCGGAGTCCCAAGGTCAAGGTCAAAATGTAGACTTATGCCCTTTCACACCCAAGGCCTTCAGTGACCTTCTAGGGGACCTGCTTCCCCATAGCGCCCCCCTAGTGGATCCTTGCAATTCTGTTTGGGTGGGTTTTTTGTTGTGTTGTTTTTTTTTTTAACTTAGCGCTATTCCTTTCCATATAAAAGGTAGGAGGGGCTTGTGAATGGGAGGCACAGGTACATGGGAGGGCCCCCCAGGCACAGGGCCAGGTTTCTAGAACATTCAGGGACGTTTCTCCCAAATTCTCCCTGGAGTAGAGTCAGCAAAACATTTTGAAGCGACTGCCGGAGCCTTCACCCACCACTTCCTGTTGGCACGCCCTGAGCCTCCTCACCATCCCAGGGGACCCGGTTGAAAAGGGAAGCAGGTGCCCCAGCCGGTGTGGCTCAGTGGATAGAGCATCGGCCCGGGGACCCAAGGGTCCCAGGTTCGATTCCTGTCAAGGGCACGTATCTCGGTGGCAGGTTCCTCCCCAACCCCGGGCACGTGCAGGAGGCAACCCATCGATGTGTTCCTCATGCATCGATGTTTCTCTCTGTCTTTCCCGCGCTCTCCCTAAAAATCAATGGAAAAATATCCTCGGGTGACGGTTAAAAAAAGAAAGAAAAACTCCACAGTGCCACCTCCAGGCCGAACTGCAAACTACCCCCCAGCATACTGGTCAATGCAACAGGAATGAGGAGGAAATGAGAATCTCTCCCATCCATCCATCCAGGGGACGTAAGGTCTCCGGGAGAGAGAGGGCCAGGGAGTGAGCAGGGTCGCTCTCTCTCCGGCAGGGTGGATGGATGGGCCACATTCAGACGTCGGAGGACAGACCCCGCCTTCCCCTCAGGGGTCCTTGTCGTCCAGTTTGATGGTGACTGTTTTCACTTCGGTGTATTCCGACAGCGCGTACTCGCCTCTGTGGGAGAGAGAGAGAGAGAGAGAGAGAGAGAGAAACATCCATGATGATAGATAGAGAATCATGGATCGGCCGCCTCCTGCGCGCCTCCTACTGGGGATGGAGCCCGCAACCCGGGCCTGTGCCCTGACCGGGAATCAGCCCTTTGGGGTTAGCTCGGCGTTTTTGAGGCTATCCTCAGTGGTTAAAGTGTCGGCTCCCAGACCGAAGTGTCCCGGGTTCGAGTCCCAGTCAAGGGCACGTACCTGGGTTGCAGGCCCCATCCCCGGCCCTGGTTGGGGCACGTGCAGGAGACAACCAATCAATGTGTCTCTCTCACATCGATGTTTCTCTCTCTGTCTCTCCCCATCCCTTCCACTCGCTCTTAAAAAAAAAAAATCCATTGGGGGGAGAATCAATGGAAAAATATCCTTGGGTGAGGATTAACAACAACAAAATAAAAAATAAATTTAAAAAGCACCTTGAAGAAAGAGAAATTACAGGCTTCTTCTTAAGACCAGCCGGGGCACAGTCCCCGGAGGGCCCGTGGGTGGGCGGCAAATTGCCAGCCCAGCCCGGGCGACGGGGCCGGGGAAAACCATGGAATTCACCGAGCCGGGTGCCAGCGGGAAAAGGGGAACTTCTTGCGACATGAAGACTTTCACTGGAGACAGCGGAACACGGAAATCGGTTTTCAAGTCTGTGTCCAGGCTCCTTGTGAATTATGGCCGAGGACTTTATCAAAAGCCTTGGGAAATATGTGCCAGGGGTCAAAAACACAGACATGCGGCCCGGCCGGTGTGGCTCAGTGGTTGAGCGCCGACCTATGAGCCAGGAGGTCACGGTTCGATTCCCCGTCAGGGCACATGCCCGGGTTGTACCCTCGATCCCCAGTAGGGGGCGTGCAGGAGGCAGCAGATCCATGATTCTCATCATTAATGTTTCTCTCTCTCTCCCTCTCCCTACCTCTCTGCAATCAATTAAAAAATATATTTTTAGAAATAAATAGAGAGATAATAAGTGACCGACATGACCCACCGGACAGGCAGAAACAGGCGTGGAGGGACTGGGGCACTTACAATTCTCGGCCGTTTCCCGACATTTTAAAGCCACCGAACGGAGCCTGTGCGTAGATGGCGTTGTAGCAGTTGATCCTGGAGAGAGAAGGAGACGATGGCCACGGTTACCCGGTGGGGACCCGCCTGGATTGTGCACGTCCCGGCTGTGAGTTTTAATCACGGAGACGGCGTGCTTTTAATGTCCACCTTCTTTGCTTCCCAGCAGAAACTGAGATTTGAATATTCCTGGCATGAAGCTTTTGGCTTATTTTTCCCCCCAACAATTCAGGAAATGAATAAACATTTAAAAAATTTTAAAAAAATGGATTTCAGAGAGAGCGCTGTGTGACCCTGGGCAGGTCACTACACCTCTCTGAGCCTACATGTCCTCAGGTAGGAAATGGAGATGATAATGGTACCTATCTCACAGACGGCGGTCGTGAGGATCCAGCAAAGTAAAGACAGAGCTTGGCCCATAATAGATGACTGTGATTTGATGAGTCATGAAGCCAGCCTGCCAGCCGCCCGGGACCCCGAACCACCCACCCCCCCAGCACCCCCCAACACTCACCAGACAGTGCCCGACTCCAAGGCGGAAGCCAGCTTCAGGGCTTTGTCCAAGTTCTTCGTGAATACAGCCGCCGTGAGCCCATATTCCAGGCTGTTGGCTCTCCTGATCACTTCTTCGATCGTTTTGAACTTCAGGATCGGCTGCACCGGCCCAAAAATCTATAATCGATGGCAAGAATGGCGGTGGCTCAGTGGCTGAGCGCCCAACTATGAACCAGGAGGTCACGGTTGGTTCGATTCCCGGTCAGGGCACATGCCCATGTTGCACCCTCGATCCCCAGTAGGGGGCGTGCAGGAGGCAGTTGATCCGTGACTCCCTCTCATCATTGATGTTCCTCTCTCTTTCTCCACCTCTCCCTTCCTCTCTAAAATCAATAAAAAAATATATTAAAAAAAAGAAAAGGCCCCCCTCACCAGATATCTGGGGTCGCTGAGCCTCCGAGAAGACCCCCAGCAGTCCCTCCCCTCAGCTCAGCTCCAGGCCCTGGGCCGTCGCTCTTCCTGCAGCCCCCAGTACCTCCTCTTTGGCGATCCGCATGGTGTCAGTGACCTCCGAGAAGACGGTGGGCTTGATGAAGAGCCCCCGGTCTTCCATGGCCGAGCCCCCACACTCCAGCTTGGCTCCCTCCTTCTTGCCGCTCTCGATGAGCGCGAGGATTTTGTCGAACTGGTTTTGGTCAATCTGCAAAGCACAACAGGAAGAAACGCCAGGCTTTTGGGTTGTTGTTGTTTTTAAATATGTTTTTATTGATTTCAGAGAGAGAGAGAGAGAGAAACATCAATGACGAGAGAGAATCATGGATCGGCTGCCTCCTGCATGCCCCCTACTAGGGATCCAGGCCGCAACCCGGGCCTGTGCCCTGACCGGGAATCGAACCGTGACCTCCTGGTTCATAGGTTGATGCTCAACCACTGAGCCACACCAGCCGGACAACGCTTTCCACTTTATAGGAAAGGAATGACAAGGGGACAAGGAAGGAAAGGAGCATTATGCCATAGAGGAGTCAAAATCCAGAAACAAAACACAAAACAACAAATCCACAAATAAAAACAAGCACCGATAAACTTGAGAATGTAAAAAAAAAAAAAAAAAAAAAAGGCAACACCATCCCAAGCAAAGTCAAAGGGCAAAATGAAGTGGGGAAATTGAACAGGTCACATCACAGAAACAGAGCCGATCTTTCTAGTTCGAGAAGCGTTCTTAGCAGCAGGAAGGAACACGGTGAGCGACCCCACAGCGCATCACGCTTGCACGGCTGATGGAACAGGACACGCAAACGGCTGTGAACACTTGATCAGACGTCGGCCTCACTCATGATGAGAGATACGCGCACATTAAAGCCAGGCGGGTTGCCAAGCGAGATAGCACGCTTAGCTATCAGATGGGCGGAACGCCAAAGCCTGGTAATGAGGCTGCAGGCTGGTAGGAGATGGGGGGTTGATACATCCTCTCTGAAGGGGATTTGGCAATGCTTGCAGAAATGATAAAGGCGGCCCAGCCAGTGAGCTCCTCGATCGACCCATGAACCAGGAGGTCGCTGGTTCGATTCCCGGTCAGGGCACAGGCCTGTGTTGTGGGCTCGATCCCCAGCAGGGGGCGTGCAGGAGGCAGCCGATCCATGATTCTCTCTCATCATGGATGTTTTTCTCTCTCTGTCCCTCTCTGAAATCAATAAAAAGTATATTTAAAAAATAAAATACTGGGGGGAAAGGGAGAGGGGGCAAGTTGGAGATATCTGTAATACTACCAACAATAAAAACTAAAAATAAATAAAATATACATAAAATAAAATAATTTTTTTTAAAGCCCCTTAAAAAAACAAGCTTGGACGCTCTCCATTAGGGGGCGTGCAGGAGGCAGCCAATCCATGATTCTCTCTCATCATGGATGTTTCTCTCTCTGTCTCTCTCCTCCTCTCTGAAATCCATAACAATATATTTAAAAAAATGAAATAATAACAACGTGTTGGGTGCCCTGAAATTTTCAAAAGAGCCTTCGATGACTCCCATGTTCCAGTCGAGGCAACTGAGGTTTGGAGGGAGCTTGCGACTTTCATAACGTCCCGCATGGAGCCACACGCATGCTCGACCCCCAGCCTCCCGCGTACACACGGGTGCCCACGCGGTGGGCAGGCGGCGAGCGGGCGAGTCCTGCCACTTGATTTGAAACCTCGTGGCTGGGCCGGACTTTGGCTCCCGGCACCGCGGCTGCAGCCGAGGCCCGCTTCAATAATGCATGGCCCGCCAGGCTGCCCTCTGAAATATTTATCCGCGGCCCGGCCCGGCCCGGTCACTGGTGAGAAAGCGATACAGGATGTGCCCTTTAAAGAGGTTATTAAACCCTGTGCCTATGATCATTTTCATCCTGTCCTGGGCTGCCCCAACCAGGCCCCACCCCGGAGCTCTCCGCACTGGGGTTTCGTGGTTTCTTTTTAATTATTTACTTTAAATATATTTTTATTGATTTCAGAGAGGGAGAGAGAGAGAGAAAAACATCAACGAGGAGAGAGAATCATGGATCGGCCGCCTCCTGCATGCCCCACACTGGGGACCGAGCCTGCACCCTGGGCATGTGCCCTGACCGGGAATCGAACCGAGACCTCCTGGTTCCTAGGTGGATGCTCAACCACTGAGCCACACCAGCTGGGCTGGAATACTCTCAACGATAAAGATTTAATTAAAAAAAGCCAAAACATTCAGTGGGAAGGCACGTCAGCGCCCCTCAAGGCTCCAGGAGGGACCCGGGGTCACCCAGCACCGAGCGGCCGAACCAGGGCCAGAGGGGCTGCCCGACACACACCCCGGGCTCCCACACATCAGTAGGTTACCTGGGGCCCGTGTTCCGTCCTGGCGTCGAAGGGGTCCCCCACGGGCCGCTTCCTGGCGCGCTCCACGCTCCTCCTGACGAACTCGGGGTACACTTGCTCTTCCACGAACACCCTGGAGGCGGCCGTGCAGCACTGGCCTTGGTTGAAGAATATTCCCTGGTGGGCGCACTCCACGGCCAAGTCCACTGGAGGGCGAGGGGGCACGGGCAGCGGGCAGCGGGGGCAGAAGAAGCAGTCAGGTCGTTAGGGCAGGACTGGCCACAGCCTGGCTCTGCCCACACAGGGACACAGGCTCCCAGACAAACTTGAGAAATCAATTTCGTTCCCAGCATTTCCCCAAACGCACGGGGGAGGGGACACATTTTGGGGGCGGCTGAGTTTGGAGTTGAAGCGTTTCCCCCCTGCAGGACTTGTCAGTGTGTTTACTACGCGGATCAGCGCAGAGAATGGTCCCAGGCCCTGTTTCATTTGCTCAGGGACCCATCCTTCTCCCCCCACCCCCTTTTTAAAAAAAGATGTCTTTATTGATTTCAGAGAGGAAGGGAGAGGGAGAGAGAGAAACATCCATGATGACAGAGAATCACGGATCGGCTGCCTCCTGCACACCCTCTACTGGGGATCGAGCCCACAACCAGGGCATGTGCCCTGACCGGGAATCGAACCGTGACCTCCTGGTTCTGAGGCACGCGGCCGGGCGGGACTCATGTCCTTTGGAATAACATCTGCTGAGTACGGATGCAGCCCCGTTGGCATGAACTTTGAAAGGAGCCCAGATTTTGTGCCGTCTGCGACAGAAGGGTCCCATTAGGGAACAGAGCCCCATGCGGGACTTGGAAGAGTTAGAGAGGAGAGAAAGCATGGGTTCTGCCTGGCAGGGCCTGAACCTGAACTGCAGACCTGAGCTGGCGTTGAATTAACAACAGGTGGCCAGTGTGGCTCAGTGGTTGAGCCTCAACCTATGAACCAGGAGGTCACGGTTTGATTCCTGGTCAGGGCACATGCCTGCGTTTCGGGCTTGATCCCCAGTGTAGTGGGCGTGCAGGAGGCAACCGATCCATGATTTGCTCTCATCATGGATGTTTCTCTCTCTCTCTCCCTCTCTGAAATCCATAAAAAAATATATTTTTTAAAAAGGCCTTCGTCCAGCCGAAACCGGTGTGGCTCAGTGGATAGAGGGCCAGGCTGTGGACTGAGGGGTCCCGGGTTCGATTCCGTTCTGATCGATGTTCGCTCATCGATGTTTCTAACTCTCTATCTCTCTCCCTTCCTCTCTGTAAAAAATCAATAAAATATATTTAAAAAAAAAAAAAAAGGCCTTCGTCCAAAATAACTCATTCATTTCTTGCCAGGAGCTAGGGTGGGGGCCGCCGTGGCGGGGAAAAGCGACATGTTCTCGTTGATATCATGCCTGGGATGCCAGCTGCGTCAGGATTTAATTTTGTGGCCTGGCACTGCCCACGGGAAGAGGAGATGGCTACGTGGGGTGTTTACGATCCTCATCCGACCAACCGCCAAACAGGAGTCTTGTGTTCTCATTGTCGTTTGCTTCCCTGGGAGGAAGAAAGGGGGAGCTGCGGGGCAGATGGGGTACCTAGCAATGGCAGCACTCAGCCAAATGGGAGTCCTGGCTCTTTAAGACTGGCGTTTGGAGCTCTGAGTGTGGGTCACAGTGGGGCCACACCCACGCGGTTCCCAAAACCATTAGCAAGCTGCTGCTGCTGCTTCCACAAGGGAACACCAAGTCCGGAACAACATAAACAGTCCATTTCCACAGGCCTCTGTCCCAGGGGAAGCCGGCTTCCGGGAGAGGACATGCTATCAGTCATTCACACCTTAGTGAGAAATAGTGTTTGTCTGCAGGGCTATTTACAATTCCAACCTTTATCTGCATGTGCAATGGAAGGCTTTGTTCCTCAAAAAAGGAGTTTCTGGCCCTAATGGGCAGGTCGTGAGGCTGTTCTTTGCAAGACATACATATGACCCTAACGGGCAGGAATGAGAGAATGATGAATGCCTAGGAGTGGGACACACCTGCCCTGTTCCTCCTCCTCTTACCCCAGCCCCAGGCCAGCTCAGGGGCCTGAGCATCTGGAGCAGAAACTGGCCTTGTTCTCATGGCTCCCACTCCCCGGGGCTGGGAAGGTCAACTTGACCTTGAAGGGCAGAATCAGGCGGCCCACTGGTGACCACCTGGGCATGCCTCCCTCCCATGGAGCTTTTTTTTTTTTTTTAAATATCTTTATTGATTTCAGAGAGGAAGGGAGAGAGAGAAAGATCCATGATGAGAGAGAATCATGACTCAGCTGCCTCCTGCACGCCCCCTGCTGGGGATCGAGCCGCAACCTGGTCACGTGCCCTGACCGGGAATGGAATAGTTACCTCCTGGTTCATAGGTCGATGCTCAACCACTGAGCCACACCGGCCGGGCATCCAATGGAACTTGCGTTTCATCTCCATCTATTTAGGTGAGCAGGGCCCAAACTGGAAACGCACCCCCAGTGTGTGCCTGTGCCTGTGTGTGTGTGTGTGTATGTGTTCCCCTTGGTTCTGAGTTTGGTCCAGGGAGCCTGGAGACACCCCCGAGCCCCCTAAGGCGCAGGGAGAGACTCACGGTCGGCGTCGGCACACACGATACAGGGGTTCTTCCCCCCGAGTTCCAGCGTCACCCTCTTCAGGTTGCTGCGAGACGCGGCCTCTTTAACCAGCTTGCCAACCTTCCGGATGAAAACAAACAAGCAAACATAAAAAACCAAACCCGGACTGGATGGAACCTTGGACGTGGCCAGATGTGGCCCCAGTACATGTGCGTCACCCTCCCTCCCTCCCTCGGCCGCGCCCAGCACCCTGAGATGCTGGCCTGGCCGGAACCCCTGGCCCAGCTGCTCCACTGACAGGGCGGAGCTGGAGCCTGGAGGCCCGGTGAT